TTCCTCTGGTTTTATTTTCTGGAGGTAGAGCAGAAACTGGCTCCCCTTACGTTGCCTGCCCTGCTGGCTGACAGCTGCCTAAAACCCCGAGATGAGGCACTGACTTCTCTACTGAAACGGAGTCCTGGAGCAGCCAAGGCCAGGCTCTGTGTCAATGTGCTTCTAAGTCTCTGATTCCCTAAACAGACCAAGTGTGCTGCTCCAAAGCCTGCTTCATCCCCGAGGCTCCAGGAGAGCCTACTGTGGGCAGAGCTTCCATGTGGGGGCTGCGGCTCGAGGCGTGGGGGTGGGTGCTGGACCGAGGGCTCCCAGAGATGTGTGTGTCTGTGCCTTCTGAACAGGAAGCCTATTGGCACCGGGGCAGGCTTTCCAAATGCTAATCACTGGGATCAAAAGCAGGAGCGTCCTCATTCTGACTCCAGGTAACAGAGGTTAACAGCATCTAATGCATTTATTAACCCTCTGGTGCCAGAGACTGGGGAGGTCTGGCCCTACAATTACAGTGCCGTGGAAATCCTATTACCCAGCGTGCCTGGACTAGCAGATTACTACCGGTGACAATTTTTTAACCCCGCTGGAAGGACAATGTTTAGGAAGTGCCTGAATACAAGTTCTCCGGTTTTCCAGAATGACAACAAGGCTGCTGGGCTGGAGATGGTCCTCACCTGTCCCTTTCATCCCCCCATCCTCAAGATGAAAACCCCGTGGTACTGTGGTTGGCTGGTGCTGTTTCCCCTCCACTCAGAGTCAGGTGGCTTCCCCCCTAACCACAGAAGTCTGAATTAGCTGCTAGGAAACATTCTTTCATAAAAGAGATTAAAGAATTCATTTTTCAACATGCTGTACTGGTGGTTAAAATGGACTTTTAGAAAAATGAAATCCACTCTCTTCTTCCCTTCTTTATCCTTCTTTCTTTTCTTTCCTTTTTTTTTTTTTTTCAAGAGATGTCATATTTTAAAGCCATACTGTCAGGTTTGGGGTCTAGATAGGTCCGGGCTGGCCATGCTCTGTGCTGGGTCCCTGAGTATGTCATTAATGAGCAGGGTGCTGGGTCCGCAGACAGGACCTTGAGCCGGCACTTCCATTATTCCACCCTTAGTTTTACTGGTTTAAAACTCAGCAGTAAGAAGTCCTCTTCTGGTTTCTAACTTACCTTCTACCTTACAAGATCTCAGAAATTTTGTTTGTTTTAATTTTCCTGGACCATCCCAGTTTTTATCACCTGAGAGACAATACTGAAAGTGTGTAAGTACTCTTTGCAGTAGTTGAAGATGTAGGCTACCCTGTAATTCTGTGTTTATGTTTATCACTCCTGACTAGCAAGACAAGTGATAGCTTGATGATGTTTCCAAAAATGCTCAGGATAAAAGCCCTTAAAATGTAAAAATAACAGGTTGCTTAGGCTTCTAAAATGGGCTCTAAAAGCCAGATTTTCATAAGTGGTCTCTGGATTTGCATAGCAGATTTCTGACCCTCAGTGTCACTGGAGGGATTCAGACTGCACACAGGACTCCTAAGCCTGCAGCCAGCTAGACAATACACTGGTCTTAATTCCCAGGCTCTGCCCCTCCATCTGCAGTTTATGAACCCTCACAGGCACCAACCCCCCAGGGTGGTGGGGGGCACCACCTGTACCTGATGCTAGTCAGTCTAGGCAGCAGATCCACTGGCTCTCGTAATGGGCACTTCAGGTTTGATGTAGGATTGGGGAAAAAAATACCTCATGTCTATACGTGATCTTTTGATGTTGTTACCCAGAATAACAATAACTGGTATTGTTAAAATGACAATATAAAACAATATAAAATATTCCAATAACTGGTAACATCTGCCCTTCGCTTTCTTTTTTTATTATAAATTTATTTTTTATTGGTGTTCAATTTGCCAACGTACAGAATAACACCCAGTGCTCATCCCGTCAAGTGCCCACCTCAGTGCCCGTGCCCTTCGCTTTCTAATCAGACTCCCAGACCTTCCTGTGATCCATGTGAGGTTCAGGTAGAACTCCAGGATCCGCTCTGCCTCTGCAGTGTGGGAGTTTCCACTCTAATTGGGAAGCTGTGTTAATATGCCATGTAAGCAGAGTATTTAAAGGCCGGTGTGCATGCACTGCTAAGCTTCTGGAGTGCTAAGTGCTTCTTTGGGTTGGGAAGGCATTTAACAGGGGAGAAGGCATTTTCTCAAGAGTATTTGCAGGGGCCTGGATACACACTATTATCTTTACTCTGCAGGTTATCTACTTATGCCAGTGAGAATGGTCCTCAAGGCAAGAAGAACTTGGAGATGCTTCCTCCAGTTATTGTGAAGCCAATGGGGCTACAGGGAGACAAGGCCTCACATTGACCATTTCCTTTAGGTAGATGCCAACAGGATGCCTGCTTTGGGGGAAAAAGAGCTCAGAGATTTCAAAGACCTGAAGCTGGTCTAAATGTTTTCTCATGTGTGATGGAGCAATAATCCCCACTGTTTCCAGATAGAAGGCAAGAGCCTGCATGCCTGTAAACCTACATGCAGTGTGAAAGCCTCAGTGACCAATGCGGGTCAGAAATCTACCTCTACAGATCTGGAGTCCCCTAAAACAGTCTGTTAAGACAGAAAACTTTTCTTATCCATTGGTAGGAGCCCCTTTATAATGATTTAATAATGACGGGCATTGTTACTAGTATTTCAGCAGATTCCTGAAGTGACTCAGTATGGCTAATGAGTACGTCAGATTGTGTATACAGTGGGTAAAACCCTACATATCAGTGCTAATCATACAGACCAGAATAGGAAGGAGGGCCCCTCAACCCTTCGAACTTCTAGGCCTATGGTTTAGGACACAGAGGCATAGTTTAGCTATGACCACAAGCACAGAAATAACTTGAAGGCACAATGTGTCCCAGACTAGAAGTCAGACTGCTTTCTCTGCACATTTTAGTGAACTTCTTAGTTATGCAAAGGCCATTAGCAAGGGTTTATGTCTTTTGTAGATTATGGCCTAGCAAAGAAAAAAGAGAATGAGATATTTTAAGGCCATTTTGGTATCTGGGCACAATTCCAATCTTGAACAGAAATAAAACATGTAAAGTTCTGTACATTATTCTCTGCAGGTAACAATGCAATGGACCAGATTTGCTATTACTATAGATTAAAAGTAGGCTTTTGGGTAAGGTTCAATTCCTCTTCTAATTTCTCCTCTGATCCTCTTATACATAACATTTAGTGACCTTTGAACAGCCTGGGGATGCCTCACAGTGTCTTATTTCTTCATGGCTGTTTAAAGGTTTCTATTTCATATTCGCAGCTGGCATATGCAAATATAGGTAAAGATTATGATACCTCCCCAGTAGCATTATGGTCAGTAAATTACTCCTTGGGTGAACAGGCCATCATCATCAGCCTAGCATGTCTTCAACGAGTTACAGAAGTTGAACGAGTTGCCTCTTCCTGCAACAGGCAGCCTGCCAGTTGCCATTCACTCGGAGCTGGGTGCCCAGACACTCCTTGATTCAAGTGTGATGCTTAACCAGGGTCATCGTGTTGGGACATGAGCTCTCTCTCTTTGGTGTCAACAGATTCTTGTTTTGGGGGAAGGAGGTTATTGGAGGGGAGTTCTTCATGTGGATTTGGGGGCAGGTAGAGCATGAAGAGTCAAGCATGCCAGGATTTCTGGGAAAAAAACACTGTAATGGAGGAAAGAGCACATTTTCTTTCAAGAGTTTTAGAGACCTGTTCTGTATCCTGACTCTACCAGTAAATGGCTATGTGACCTTGGAGAAGTCACTTAACTTCACTGCACTCTGTCTTCCTTTACAAAACAAAAGGGCTGTACTGGGTCAGCAGTTCCCATTGTCACTGTTTAAGCGATGGAAATTTCCCTTCAACTCAGCTGTCTGGTAGAAGCTCAGTGGGGACTAGTTCCCACGTGAGGAGATGGGGAGCTCAATGCTTTCACTGCCACTGCCCCGGAAGCAATTGTGTGATTACTGGATCTGGATCCATAGCACCCTGCACAGTTCCTCCAGGGGATCCATCTGTAAGAGTCCCTGCCCTGTGCCAGAACTCCTAAGCCATGAATGGGTTACTCAACTAGAGGACAGTCCCGTGAGCCCAGAGACTATATCCTTTGGCTCCTATCACCTGATACCCAGCTTTGGAAAATAGCTTGTCGACTGAAGCAATGAATAAAACAAATGAACAAAGAAGCTTCAGGAAAACCTATCTCTATATTACTAATGAAGGGGGATTTTTATTGCCACGTTTTTACCTCAAAGGCACATCCCCAAAATGAACATTCAGAGATATACATGAGTTCCAAATATGGATGACTTCAAAACTTGGGGTGCCTGGGTGTCTCAGTAGGTTAAACATCTGACTCTTGATTTGGGCTTAAGTCATGATCTCAGGATCATGAGCTCGAGTTCCATATTGGGCTCTACACTAGGCGTGGAGCCTGCTCAAGATCCTCTCTCTCCGTCTACCTCTGCTCTCCCCTCCTATGTTCTCTCCCCACTCTGGCCCTCCCTCTCATACTTTCTTCCCCCACCCCTCCCCTCCTATCTCTCAAAAAACAAAAACAAAAATAAAACTTCGTCTTTAGTAACCTAACCTAGTCTTGGGCTGCCCTCACTAGCCATCAGCCACAGGTAGCTACTGAGCCTTTGAAAAGGGGCAGGTCTGATATGAGATGTGTAATGTCAAATACGCCAGGTTTTGAAGAATTAGTATGAAAAAGAAAGTGTAAAGTATCTCATTAATGACTTTTTATATTGACTGCATGTTGAAATGTTAATATATTGTGTTAAATAAAATACATTATTACAATTATCTTCACCTTTATCTCTTATGTGGTTGCTAGAAAGTGTAAGATTATGTATGGGCTTATAGTTGTGACTCACATATTTCTATCAATGGCCCTGCCCTATACAACTAAGTGATGAGTGAATCATCAGTAATTATTATTCTGTACTGTTTATGAGTGATTTTATGTGTGTGTGCATGTGTTTGTCTTTCTGCAGGCACAGAAGCTGAAATCCAATATGTCGGGCAGTACACACCTCTGTCTTTCTGATGTAAGTTGTGTTTCTCCCTGGGTCTCCCTGCATTTCTAGAGACAGAATCCTTTGCACCCCTGGTGATGACATAAAGGCTCAAAGACAATGAGGTTTCAGGTCTAGGAAGACGATCTAAGGCACCCTCCATGTTTCTGTCCTTTGAGTCAAGTGAATTCTTCAGGTCCCAGGGCACAAAGTTAGACCTAATGTGGGACCCAAGATCCTCATCTCAGAGTTAGATCCAGCACAAGATACTATTGTTCCAGTGCCAGGAGACTATGTGACCATAGTCATGTAAAATTAACCAGCACAGAGGACATACAATAGTTCTCACTGCTTACCAGATGTCCTCTGTCTACAGATCCTTTGACCTCTGCAGCACCAAGAGGTACTGGTAGCTAGAGCGGGACACATTACTCTCCCCATTTTATGGGTGAGATGAAGGATTCTTTCCTGTGCCAATCATTGTGGCGGGTTTGGCATTATGAGGCTGAGGGAGTGCTGTGGTGGGGATAGAGTCACCCATCTAGGGAAGGATAGCTGTGCCAACTGGAAGTCTGAAAGTTGGAGTTCTGGTGTGGACTCTCCAGCTGATAAGTGGGGCAGGCTTCTTTGTCTAGAAAATCTACAGTTGAAGGGGCAAATGGAGATAAAAGTTGCTGACTGCCCTGCTGGTCTCAATGCGATTTGTGGCTCATCTCTGCATGAACTGATACTTGCCTGGACCAATTTCCTGAGATGAATCTTCCTACCCTTCTTCAGTGATGGTGAGGGACAGTGGGCTTCCTCCTAAGTCAGTATGAAAAGGAGAGGCATTCTTAGCTGTGGAGAGAGCCGGAAGGTAGGCATGAAGGAAGACACAAAGTGGATTTCAATAATCCGTAGTGGAGGAGTGCGAAGCAGGTGTTGGCCAGTTTATCATAAAGTATATAAGTGTATTATATCCAGTTCTCACCCAGATTCATGATTCCTTTCCATAAAACTACAAGTCAGTGAATGAAAATCTCCATGCAATATCTTAAAGGGTCAGCTTTGGTGAGTGGTACAGCTAGTTGGAGGTGAGGGTGGGAGAGAGAAAGAGTAAGGTTAAAATACACTGGGATAGGAGGAATACATGTGGGTGACAATGAAAATATTCTCTCTTACAGCGTGATTATGAAAAGAATGGTCTCTCTGGTCCTTCCAGCCACATAACCACAAAATCAATGGCTGCTCCTCCAAGCTGCGGTCTGAGCCCACTGCTGGTTCTGGTGGTAACCGCCCTGTCCACCTTATTATCTTTATCTTTGGCAGAAACATCGTAGCTGCATTGAAAAAACAATATGGACATGTAAAAAGACAAAAACCAAGCTATCTGTTTCCTGTCCTCTTGTATATCTGAAATTCCAGTTTTAGGAGCTCATTTGAGACACTGCAAAAAGTTTGTTCCAACTGGAACTTTTTGTTTCTTCTTTTTCTTTCTTTCTTTCTTTCTTTTTTTTTTTTTATTTTTTTTAAAGAGATCTTCTTGTGATCCTTAGGGCTTCTATGGGATACCTTATGCAGTGCTACATTCCATATTGAAAAGGCTTTGGGGCATGCTGTATTGCAAAGGGGCAGTTCGTAAATATGGCTGTAAAACAAACTGGGCCTATGTTTGACATGATGATGATGTTGATGATTTTAACACTTTAACTCTGGCCTTTACTAGCTAAAGAAGGACTTCGTATTTCTAAGGAATCTCCCGTATCTCATGTAATGGCCTTGGTTTCTGATGACATCACTTTAGCCTAACATGGGTGCAAGCTTATTTTGTCACAAAGCAAAGATTCTCACCAAGAGGATCTTGGTGGACTTTGTGCAGACAAGCTTGCACCAGTGCTTACCTTTCTATATGCACTAGCATTTTCCACACTGTTCGTGTACTGTAAACAGTTCTACACTCTCGTACCAAACAAATGACACCTGTCACATCAAAATGTTAGTGTCCGTCTTTGAATCAGAATAGAGGGGACGAGTGTGCATGAAACTTCGCAGTACCTTGATTACTGAATGACACTCTCCTAAGCCTTACCTGAGTGAGAAGCCCTTTAACTAACAAGAGTCAAATATAGCTGACATGTCATTCTAATACTCTTTACACATATGAGGTTATATGTAGAAAAAAAAATTTTACTACTAAATGATTTCAACTATTGGCTTTCTATATTTTGAAAGTAATGATATTGTCTTCATTTTTTTACTGATGATTTAATACAAAATACATGGAGCTCGTTTTCCTCTCGTAAGTAGTGTTAGCTCCAATATTAACTTCACGAAGACAGCTTTTCAAAAGCAGACTCCGAGGAGCCTCATGCTTTAGCAGAAAGCTCTGCATCACGTTACTGTGGACAGGCAAGAGGAAACAGAGCAGCCAAGTGTTGTCTTTTATCATTTCTTGAAATGCAAGCGTGCATACCCATGAGGAAACTGATGGCCACTTGTAAATGCCCTGCAACATCTGATGGCACCTGTGCCAATTGACACAATCTAGTACCTTGGTTTTCATGTTGCTTGACAAAGGCAGGTTTGACTGGGCTGGAGGACAGGAACATGCTGCCCTCTATTCTGAAGCAGATCTGTGCCAGGGTACAGTTCTTTTGCTAAGGGTTGTCTTGACTCTCAACGATGATGACCTGGTCACTGTTGAGAGTGATTTGGTTTGAAGGTCATCAGGAATCTACTTGCATCTTGTTATGTGTCCTCCATGACAGACTGTGACTGACTGTGGAAAGAAAGGCTACTGGATCAAGAGGACCAACCATAGGTCTATAGAGATGAGTTGGCTGGCAGAGATACACAGAACAGAACAGGACTTTGGAAACAAGGCATCTGGCTTGTTCACTGCTCATCATCTCCATCATTCTCGTCCTGAAGTGCACTTTTGAAGTCTGGTTGATGGAGACATTCAGAATCTACAATGATCGAGTGCTAGGAGCCATGCTTCTCCAACACTGAGTAGAGAAGAAGAGAATCCACCTGAATAGAGTGCTGGGAGCATTAATCTCCCCACATCAGTAGAGGGGCTGGAGGAGGAATCCAAGGTGCACAGTTCATACTGACCCCCTTTGCCCGCTGATGTTTGCCTTGTAAGAATTAATCAAACCACTGGGGTGGGAAATCTATTCAACCCAAGTTAAAGGCATAGTCTTTTAGCTCTATTGGTGTTTGAAGTACATTTATATCCAAATGTTAATAAACATAAATGTATAATACTACGTACCGAGTTTGTTCAGTTCAAAATGTTTTCAAGGAAAATTCATCAAACAAATTTGATTAGTGAAAGGTTTCCTAAAGACTCTTACTTTGTATAAACACATTAAATGTGTCGAAATATTTGGAATTCCAGTCATCTATGAAAGCATATCTCTTACAGAGCATATTTTGTTTTGATTAAGGTATCTCTGTGTATCTACACTGGACTAATTGCATATGGGTCTGATTCTATGTGATCTACTGTAGAAAGCTATTGATCCCTTCTGCAGTAAACAGCGGCTGTAATTAGCTTCAGATGACCGAAGAGGAAATAGGAGTTATCAGAGCTAACAAGGTAGCCTTCGGTGAAGAACTCGGGGATGTGCAACACATAAATTAAATTTTGGAAAGCCTCATCTATCAGCAACAAAGATCTCATTTTTCTTTACAGATAGAAGCATATTAGAGTTACCAAATTCTAAATTTGAAAATAAATTACTGATTAAATAAACAGGGGGAAGGATGTTCAATGACAAAACATTAGAGAGACTCTTACAGATTCATGCCAAGCCAAGTGTTTCTGCCATTCAGTGTGATTCTCAGTTTAACACAGTGAACCCAAAACACCATCATTTGCCCCAGGACACTAAAGCATGCAGGTGACTTAAACCTTTAACTTACTTGTGCAGCAGGGCTGACAGCAAAAATGATTACTTCCTATCTCTCAGTTCCTGCATTTGGGGTACCAGATGCAAGGGCCTTCTGCTGGGGTTTGGGCCTCTTGCAGAAGTTATCTCATTGTAGCTGATTTTGACCAAACAAAAACAGTAACTTATATCCATGTAGACCATGACTCCCACATCAAGTCTAGCTGTGCCCTGCTTATTTGAGAGAATGAAGAAAAGGGACAGTATTGCCAAACTGATTGGAAGCACATTGATTCCACTTTGATGTTAAATATCTTTGACCAATAATATGTTGGAGTATCTTTTTAATAGAGCACATGGAGGAAGAAGTGCACAATAAAGAAAAGGATTCATAATGCCATTTCCATGTTTATTTTTCCGTATCTGATTTCTTCAAGACCCTAGAGTATAAGTTGAGAATTACACAGATTATTTTTTATTAAGTATAGCGAACTGTATCCAGAGTACAATAAGAGTGTGGTTTTCATTTAAAAAAAATTAAATTATTGAACAATTCCTTATCCTGTCATAAAAAATGTCTTAGAAGCCACCTTTGAGTTAACCAAATCTGGGACAAGTTTTCTCCAGAGCTGCTGTGGCCTTTGATTGGGTCTATATGAAGACTGTTCTAACATGCATATGTTCCAGGGATGGGTCCTCTCCAACTGCATTCTCTCGCCCGCCTGTCCCTTTGAACTCTAAACTAGACACTCCTGAGACCATCTGCCGAACTAGGAAGGGAGGCGAGCAGAAGCATTTTTGAGTCCGTGTAAAGTGCTTGTTGGGAAAAGAGATGTAAGAGCAGTGGGAGTTTGTATAATTAGCAATTTCTTTCCTTCAAATCTGGCAAAAGTGTATTTCTGTTGTTACTATTGACAAAATAGTGGCCTTGGAGGAGCCATCGTTTGGAAAATAAGTTTTTATTCATGTAGTCAGACAACTCATGACTTACTTGAGTCAATAAACAGTAGACCAGAGAGGGCTGCTTAAATGAGCTTCCATTTTCTCATTCCCTTTCGACACTGGTCTTGTTCTCCTGGATGCATACCCCTGTGATCTCTGTTGTTTCTGCTCTTTGATAAAGCAGAGGAGACCATGTGAGACCTATCTTTTCGAGAAAGACTACAAAGCAGTGGCAGCAGATGGGCATGAATGACCAAGGGCCTGGGTCTTGGCATGACCAAAAGACTGGTCTGCACTGGACTCTAGGAGTTTGGAGAGATAAAGCAAAACCCAGGAGCAATACGAGGCCAGGTGCCATGGGTAAATGGGTCACATGGTCTGCTGGCATTCCTTCCTGATCCACGTAGGAGCCTTGACCTCACAAAATAGCCAGAGTCCCTTGAATGAGACAGCAGTGCCTTTGTGGAAAGTAAGCCAGAGCTAATATCTGGACAACAGAGGAATAATTTTTTTTTTTTTAGAAATTCTAAAACTGTAAAACAGCTGAGAATTCAGTTGGAAACCCTTAGAAGCTATGTTTTGCCCTTATCCCTAAGATAAGCATCTCATGTATATATCTGACACTTCTTGACTTTGACAACAGCTTTTCTTCTCAAGTGGCCATTTGTTCTAAGTCTGTTGTCTAGGATTCTAGAGGACTATACATCTGAACACATGCTCATGGCAGAGGCTTTAAATCTGGGGGTTTGGGCACTACCTGCATCCTGGGGTGAGTTTAGTGGGACATTTCATTTCACAGGGAGAGTTGTCTTAAGACATGGGTTCACTCTGTTCTCTTTCATTAGGTTATCGGTGCCCGAGTCCCCATTCGTGTTCTTTATCACTCAAGTGTTTAACAGGGTCCCTTCCCGTCGATTTTTCATTCTAATCATTCTAAATTTAGTCCTACTCAGATTAATTCTTGTTCTGCCAGGAACCCTGGCTTTTTGAAGACAGAGGAGCCTCTCTCCGGAGTCAGGCGATCTGAAGGTGATGTTAATCCCCCAAGTAGGAAGTTCCCCATCCAATCCTCCCTCCTCTGAGCTCCCTTTTCTTAGCCTTGGGATCATCTTGTCTGCTCATCCTCACCAGGAATCCTTTTGTTGCTCGGGGGCTCTCTGATGAGCTTCTCCTCAACCCCCTCCTGGAGATAGCCTGGGGTTGTTCGGCGGGATGCGCCACCTGCACTTATGATTGTTCTGAGATCCAGCCCAAAGGGGTGGGGAGGCGTACAAACCCTGTTTCAATAAACTGCCTGCAGAGAACAGCAGCCTGCTACCAGTCATTGAGGTCCTCGCCCCCTAAGGTCTCCAAGCTCATTTGACCAGCACAGCTGCGACTTGGGCTGTCTGCCTCTGGCAGGTGCCAATATCAGTGTCTTGTCCCACTGCCATGAGGAGTTTATTTTTGCTCCAGGGCAGCTGCCAAGCCCAGCACCAGCATCAGTAAAAGGTTTTCTCTGATTTTCTTTTCTTTGTCCCACGTCGGGTTTTCTTACCACTCCCCACTTGGCATTTTATAGAAAATAAAATGACCAGAGACCATCAGTCCCTTCTTTCATTTGGACATCTCTTCCCGCTCCCCCAGCCTCCCCTAAGGGAAAGCATGCTCTATGGTAGATATTTAGACAATGTTGGGTGAATGAAAAACTCTGGGGCACTGAAAGACTCTATTTTGTAATACGGTAGCAAGAACTGGTCTACCTGCCTTGTCTTGCCGGCACTGAGCTCTTGTACACAACAGTAGAGGTGTCCTGAGGTTACGGAGAGTGACCCAGAAGGGAGTGTCAAACAAAGCATTAGAATTAAAGCAGCTTTAAATCTGCCAACTGTATTTCCTCTGAGAGATGGAAATTTAGCATTGGGCCCCAGGACAAGCTGAGCACAACCAGCCAGTCCCAGACAGGACAGGACTCCAAATGGGGTAAACTGATTTCAGGGGAAATTAGCCATGGAGTGAGTTGATATTTTAAACTGCTTGAGTGCGGGATGCTGGCCAGAAAGGTGGACCACTCCACCACTCCCGGACCAAGCCCAGCCTTTTGCCAGCACCCTGAGAAGCAACCTAGGTCGTCTTCAAATCAACACATTTATTGAACATCTACTCTAGTTGAGTGAACCGTCATTTAGGACTGAAGCTCCTCCACGGGTAACTTGAGAATACAAGGCCTTCCGACACCCATCTTTTCGGGATGACAAAATCCTTCACTTTAACATCCTTCAGAGAATCTAAGTTCTCTTTACAAGTAGTCCAAGAAGCCACTTTCCCGACTCAGTCTCTACGAGGCAGTTAAGTCCCAGTCAATAGGCAGACATACAGCAAGACGCCCAGCTCAAGCACTATGGGGAAGGCAGACATAGCCACCCTCAGCTGAAGCCTGACAGGCTGCCACGGAGAACCAAGTGGGGCCACCCTTTGAGGTCTCAGAGGGCTGTGAGCGTGGCTAGGTGGCCATGCCAGTGCAACTGTCCCAGCTGTTGGGTACCAGCCACAGCGCAGGTGGGAAAGGAGACATCAGACTGCTTTAGCAGGAGAAAGCAGATCGCCAGAAGTGTTCATTCAAAATAGCAAAACTTTCAAAGCACACAGTGACACCACAGTGACCACAGTGATTATGCCAGCGAATACAACCTAGATGATAAGACTAAAGAAAAGTAGGATGAAGAATTGGAAAACTCAGGTGATGCCCTGGGTGGGAGAAGCACAAGGCTCTTAGGAGTGGGCAAAGGTCTGTCACCTGTCATTGGGGCCAGGCAGGACATCTGTCACAGGTGCAGGGGAAGGTCTTGTAGGCCTTCTCAGCACACTGGCCCCCGTGGCTCCATCACAAAAGCTCCCCTCCCTTCTCCGTGTCACAGCTTCTCCAGGGTTGTGTGATCTGGCTTTATCTTCCTGGTGTGCGAAGCGTGCTTGATCTGGAATCTGGCTTTTTAGTTTTTAGCTTCAGCCGAAAGCATTTCTGAAATGTGGGAAAAAGAGAGAATGGGAACTGGAGAACCAGCTTACACACTGCCCTGCCTTATTTGGCTGCAGTCTTCTAGTAATGAGACTTCTGGATTCAGAAATAGCTGATTGTCCTCAGAGGGTTGAAGAAATGGTTTCAGAAACCCAAAATCCAGGGCCTTCTATTTCTTCTAATTATCTATTTTTTTCCTCTCTCTCTTTTTGTCCCCCAAGGGAGGAGAGGGAAGGCTTTCCACCACAGAGTTTTCTTTAAAGAGTTTTCTCCTCTCTTGTGCATTAGCCCTTAGATATTGAAATTATTTTCTCTTGTTTAATCCGCCTCCTGCTGAGAAGCAGTGTGAGATTCAGGATGTGGGCTTTTGGGTTGTATTCTTTTAGATGGTATTGCATTTTTACTCTTAACCTGGGGGTATGTCTCAATTTCTGTTCCT